ACACCATTTCGATTATTCATGTTGACCGCGTACAATCCAATTGGCCGACTCTCATTTACAAAACGCCGGTTTATTGGCTGACATAGCCATCCAAACCATGAATAATTCAGTCCACCAAAGGTAAATGATTTGTAGTGCGGTTTTGTCCTGCCCACAACATCACGAAATCATTGGTCCAATCACTCACCGGTTGGGGTCAAAACGTGGCACTCACCTGTTTGTTCATTGGCCCATCCACCTCGTCGTCCTCTGTCACCGTCGCTGTTGCGTTGAGGCCGTTCGACATGTTCAGAGCGCGTCCACTGTTATCTGATTGGACACAAACGAACAGCGCCAGATTCAAAACCACACCATCACAGCCAGCAGCTTCGATTGCAAAGGGGATAGTTGAACACATTAAAACCACCAGTCAAGATCACTGGCACGCAAGTCCCTCATTTTAAACAGAAAATGCAACAAGATTCAGATCAGAGGAAACGGGAGCCTTTGCTACTATCACTGTCTTTGCTGTTGTTGTCGTGTTCTGGCCTTAGCGCGGGAATGTCGGTGCCAGCGTCAACAAGGGATCTGGTAGCGTTATCTGAGTGGTTTCTCTTGGTTACGGGCAAACAGTCTAGTGATTTTTTTAAAATAACTCTTCCGTTCCTGTCTGAACCAATCCAGCACACGCACTTTCACGGCAGAACTTTCACGCTGTCGAGAAAATATGATTCATTTCAATTCAACTTGTGAAATAGCCAAGGCAGCCAATGACATTTACCAAATACGAAACGTTTCCACAGCAATTAACAGTGCCATCATGGTGAGAATATGCAGCTTCCACATTTTCACGTAGTGATCGCCGTACATCGATTTCTACAACATCCTACATGAATGAGGCATGCACGGCAGTCACATTTATTCTGAAATAAACACCCATTTTAAAACACACGTTAGGCATTTTAATTATCCCAGGCAATTGCAGCACAAAAGCATTCATTTACATCATCGCATGTCATATTCTTTACGGAAGCATTACTGCTTTACGCTCACGTGTCAACACTGAACAAGTATTTCTTGAAATCGTTCAGTCACGTCGCCGTGGCATTTCCGCAATCTCTAACTCCAACGATACTTGTACTCACCCAACATGACCAATGCACCAGTCGTAGTGCTCATTTAATGCAAGCAATATCAGCTAAGGCGAAAACATCGGTCGCGACGAGGGAGATTTCAGTCAGATACGACGGCAACGCCATCGCTCAACGGCTTTGTGCGCATTGTTCACGTGCAATAATCCGACAATAAAAGCGTCTGCTGATGGAATCTCAACACAAATGTTCGCCTGCATCACGCGGTGCTTCAAAAGATGGTCTGTCGGTTCGGCGTGATTCTCGCATTCAAACGCCAGCTTTCTCATCGTATTAACTCGCGATCAACCTCCACGTCAGCAACATGAATTTGTCGACTTGCATGAAGAATTTCAAATCTTTCGATGCAAAATCATCACCAGCAGCGACATTACGTATCACGACTGCAGTTATCCTGAGTCAGGCTGCAGTTCTAAGGCGTGCGCGGTAACTGGCCGAAATAAGGACACGAAGGAGCACCCTGAGTGTGTACGATTAAGCAAACCGATAATGCGGAAGAGTGCGAAATCTGTCTTGAAGCTAGACGTCAACTTGGATGTGGCATCACGACAGGTTTTGTGGTGAAATCTGATCAACTTCATTGATGAGACCCGGTTGTGAAAGGAACTTTCAACTAACGACAGGAAAACGTAGATGCTAAGGCGTGATCCGAGATTTCCTTCTGGCGATTGTCCACAGGAAGTGGTTATTTCGCGGCAACCATTATAACAACGCAGGCTACAACCAGTTGAAAAATACTTGGAATGAAATTAGCGACAATGACTACTTGCTTCTTGGGTTCAAATGCCATGTCACAACCAGTTGCGTTTCGGCGTGTGTTCGATTAACGGAAATCGAAATGACACCTGCCAATTTCCAGGTCGAGTTAAACAACGAGATACTGGGGTTTGTCTGCCACTCCTCCCCACCCCCATGTGCACGGCAATTTGGCATCCACAAAACAACGCACAGTCTGAACACCACCGGATTGATTCCGTGATTCCTGTGACGTGGCATCAAAACCAATCACAGATGGTGTCAAACAGGCTGCTACGTCATTACCTCCACACCTCTCCACACTCGAACATTCCCACAACTCGACACGGCCTTCCACACGACTAATTCCGCACCCACAGAAGATGAAACGTCACTTGGGGGTTACAAACATCACCTCTACGTCAGCCGCGGGTGGTCGGTGATCGAACAAGTGTTGACATCAGTCAATCCGATCGGCCATAATTCCTTTCATGCTTCACCGTCTGAGAACTTTTCGCAACACAGCGCCTTAATCACATAGCCCTGTATCACACCACGTCCTAACGCCTCGTCACACACGCAGCACCGCCCAATTCGATTGGTCAGATTCCCTTCCTGCAAACACCTCCACATCAACTTCGACTCAAATAGCTCTACCACTGAATGCACCGTCAAGCAGACACGTCGAGGCGGACTTTGTATTAGTTGCACTGGCACGCGTCTTGCGCCACATCAACCATCAATCGCACTACCAAGTCAGCTGTCACAAGATGCTACGAATGCGAAAATGCTTGCATGCAATTGGTCCAACGACGGGTCTGGCGCAGTGGACAGCCTACTTTACTATTCTCGAAGGTTGCCATAACACTGCGAGGCGATGCCGAGATGGCCAGAAATCGACGTGGACTCAATTGTCTATTCACCACTTGCGCAACACAGGCCACTGTGAAGCGGTCCATCTCGTGAACAGCAAGAAAAGCGTGGTGGGGAGGAGGTGGTGGTGGTGGAGTGACAATTGCTGCGTGTGTGACGAGGCGTTAGGACGTGGTGTGATACAGGGCTATGTGATTAAGGCGCTGTGTTGCGAAAAGTTCTCAGACGGTGAAGCATGAAAGGAATTATGGCCGATCGGATTGACTGATGTCGACGCTTGTTCGATCACCGACCACCCGCCTCCACTGCTTTTCCACTTCACCAACAAGACAGCTGCGTCGTTCTCCGAGTTCATCTGGATCGGCTGTGTTCCAAATTGTGTGTCCGTTGCATTCCGGACTACATTGTGCTCATTGGTTGTTTCAATCGACTTCAATCTAATCATCTGCACAGCTTCACTCCACATGGCATGAGCTCGAAATGGCGCCCAAGAAGAGTGAACACGACCAACCAATGGAAAGCAGTGCCGTGCCGTGCCTCGTCTCCGATGCAGTGCTGTTTGTAGCCAAACGGACACTGGTATGCGGTCTTGAGCCGTTTACTAGATCGCCTAATCGATTTGTGTGGCTGTGGTGTGCGTGGATTCAAAATGCAGTGTGTGGGTAATTTAGCTGTTGACCTCTGCAACCTGGGTGAACTAGTTTAAGTACAAATAGCTGAAGGGGGAGGTGCATACTCTGAGGGGGTGGTGCGCGTGGGCAGACGGCCCCGCATGACAGACGGGCATACTGTGAAGAGGGTGGCGGGTGGTGGGTGTTAGACAACACGACCACTGGGCTATCGGACGAGATTCAACACGCCTCACTGCAAACACACGAGCCTGCTTGCTCAGAAGTGCCGTGTCCTACGCACTCCCAAGCATGCATGCCGACGAAATCACATCTGGCAAGACACCATGGTTGTGTATCACACAAACCTACGCAGTTCACACTTCCTGAAAATGGGCAGATCTAGAAGTGAATGTCACTGCACCCACTCACATCAACCAATCCATCTGCACTCCTTCCAGATTACCACTGCAACAAGTGCAGTCATTGCGATATCTCGACGGTAACACTGTTTGATGAAATCCATTGCCAAATTGCTGTTTTGAGTGCATTTGCTGGCAGTGGATCGCTGTGTGTTTGGAAACAGCGTAGACTGTTAAAGAGAAAGAAGATGCATATTGATTCGAAAACAACAAATTGCGTTCTGCTGCGCGATTGGACTAGACGCAGTAGCCAGGGGCTATGCAGGTGGAGGTCACTGACGGTAAAGTTAGGTCCATCTGATCACTCAGTGGACGGAATTGTATCGCGCGACGTTGAGTGTGTGAGTAAAAATCACCATCATCTCCAAATCAAACACTTTTACGTCTCTTGTGACTACCCCAAGCTGCAACGCGCCATTTCAGCTAAATCCCAAGACAATTTTGAACTGATTCCATTTAAAACAATGCAACGAAGCAGAAGCAATCAAGCAGGCTCACAATCCACTTCAGCTCTGAGACACACACGCACCCACATTCCGTGCATCCTCGCATCTTCCGTTGGTTCCACCTACTTCGTCCATCTCGTCGATGCAATCACAGCCAGACATTGAATGGACACCAATCAGCGGCATTTATCCACAAGGTCGCATCACCATAGCAACGCAGCGTGGTGCACTTCAACAGGGCTAGCGTAACCATCACGCCACTTCCGTGACAGCGTCGAGGACTGAATGTGATTGGACGTCATTTGACTGCGACGACCAACTAACACATCACCCCCCCTAGATCCAACTGCTCGAATCACTTCGACGCCAGCGTCTTCGTAGTACTGATTGCGTCCTCTTTCGATGTAGTTTCTCGTGAAATGTAGCATTCTACACCTTCAGCTGTTGTCGCCCGATTAGGACATGACGACGATCAGACGTCGTCATTGCTAACGCAAACATCGTCAGTTACAGACAGCAAGTTTAGCTTGAAAATTTTGCAGCTCATCGAATACCGTGTTTGAACTCCCATCAAATCGGTCGTACTTTTAAAAATTGTAATCGATTTGTATTAGTGATTATTTTTCAAATCAGGCCAGCCAATAAGAACAATTTAGCACTTGCGAAATTGGCCTGGGATCAATCAATCCTCGAATCTGCTGGAAGCAGACGTCCACGTCAGTGTGTTTACTGGGTGCGTTTGTTCGTGCTAGAATCAACAAGCTTGTCATTTCCTCTCGTTTATTTATGCACAACACTAAATCTCCGGGCTTCCTATTGGTTCAGCCCAAACTGCCACGGGTCTGGTCACCTCATGCGCAGCTGCGATGTCTTAAAACTTCCACGCAAAATCGGTTGTCACAATCGAGTAACTGCTCACAAAAATTATTTCAAGAATAGTTTTCAGGTGGCAAGTGTATGGGCCTAAATTAGCACTACCACAAAACCCTTCAGATAACAGCCGGTCAAAACCCAAAAAAAGAAGGCAACTTCGAAAGGGAACACGATTATTTATTCGCGTCACGCCAGTCAAATCGAATCGAGTAAAATCGAGTAACTTACTTCGGTGTGCGAATCGATACGCGTGCGTTGCAAGCGACTGCTAACAAAAATCAATAGCAAAGAGGGTGAGTCATTGATACAG